GGCTCATGACCAGGCCTCCCGATGGATCAGGGCATGATCAACCAGGCTGTTACTGCTGGCCGCACGCAGTCCAACGTACGAGCCACAGCCCGGCTGATCCGGCACTGACTTTAGGTATCTGTCTAGCTCTCTCTTGAAGGCAGTCAGGGGTTTATTGGCAATTCCCCTAATGCTTGATGGGAGGCTGTTGAACAGTCTTGGGCCCCGGACACTTATAGTGTTTTCCATTAGTGTACCAATGACGCCCCTACTTTTTATTGGGGGCATTTTGCATCGCCTGCCCAGTCTTTTACTTTCGTAGGGAGTGATTTCTGTGTGCAGATTTGGGACCATTCCTTCCAAGATTTTCCAAGTGTAGATTATGATATATCTCTCCCTCCTGTGTTCCAACGAGTACAAGTCAAGTGCTTCCAAGCGTTCCCAGTAGTTAAGGTGCTTGACAGAACTTATACGTGCAGTAAAGGATCTCTGTACACTCTCTAGATCTGCGATTTCACCTGCTTTGAATGGAGATGTTAATGTACAGCAGTATTCCAGCCTAGAGAGAAGTGATTTGAAAAGGATCATCATTGGCTTGGCATCTCTCGTTTTGAACGTTCTCATTATCCATCCTATCATTTTCTTTGCACGTGCGATCGTGGCACTGTTGTGATCCTTGAAAGTGAGATCCTCAGACATTACTACTCCCAGGTCCCTTACATTATTATTCCGCTCTATTGTATGGCCAGAGTCTGTAGTATACTCTGTTCTAGTTATTATCTCCTCCAGTTTTCCATAACAGAGTAGTTGGAATTTGTCCACATTGAACATCATATTGTTTACCGTTGCCCATTGGAAAACTTTGTTTATATCTTCTTGGAGGTTAACCGCGTCCTCAGCAGATGACAGCCTCATGCAGATCCTAGTATCATCCGCAAAGGATGATACGGTGCTGTGATGTGTATATCTGTCTATGTCTGATATGAGGATAAGGAATAAGATGGGGGCGAGTACTGTGCCTTGTGGAACAGAGCTCTTCACTATGGCAGCCTCCGATTTAACTCTGTTGACCACTACTCTTTGTGTACGATTTGTTAGGAAGTTGAAGATCCATCTCCCCACTTTCCCAGTTATTCCTTTAGCACGTATTTTATGGGCTATTACGCCATGATCGCATTTGTCAAATGCTTTTGCAAAGTCTGTGTATATTACATCTGCATTCTGATTTTCTTCCAGTGCATCCAAGGCCATATCATAGTGATCCAGTAGTTGAGAGAGGCAGGAGCGACCTGCCCTGAACCCATGTTGCCCTGGATTGTGCAGATTTTGGGAATCCAGGTGATTTGCAATCCTGCTTCTTAGCACTCTTTCCAAGATTTTTATGATGTGGGACGTCAGAGCTATTGGTCTATAGTTCTTAGCTAATGCTTTGCTGCCACCTTTATGAAGTGGGGCTATATCCGTTGTTTTAAGTGACTGGAATTTCACCCATGTCCAAGCTCCTCCTCCATAGTGTACTTAGGGCACGCGAGAGGGGTTTCTTGCAGTTCTTAATGAAAACAGAGTTCCACGAGTCTGGGCCCGGGGCTGAATGCATGGGCATGTTGTCAATGGCTTTTTCGAAATCTATCGGAGTTAGGGTAATGTCCGAAATCTGGCATACATTTATGGAGTTTTGAGGCTCATTCATGAAGAAATCATTTGGGTCGTCGATCCTCAGACCGATTAGTGGTTCACTAATCACACAGTTTACCTGGAGAGTTCCGGGGGTCAACGCCCCCGCGGTCCGGTCTGTGACCAGTCGTACTGGGATTTCAATGTTTCACTCATTTCCTTGTTGTCATCTGTGTAAGTCCCATCCTGTCTGAGTAATTGCCTTGTTTTTAGCATATGAAAAGAAATATTTTGAATTTCTTTCAATTTCACTAATAGCTTTAAGCTGCTCCTGTCTCTCCTGGTTCCTGTAAGAGTCATTTAACTTAAGTTCGATAGTTTCCACTTCCCTGGTCAGTGCCTCCTTTCGTGTATCAGATATTCTAGCACTCCTGAGGAGCTCAGTGACTCTTCGTCGTCTTCTGTAGAGGAAGAGTCTTTCTCTCTTCAGTTTACTCCTGCTCTTCTTCTTTCTAAGGGGAATATGCCTAGAACATGCTTCAGCTGCCAGGAAGTTGATCCTTTCAAGGCACTGGTTTGGATCCATGTCATTTAAGATATCTTCCCAACATGTTTCGTTTAGGACATGGCTTACCTGGTCCCAGTTGATGTTCTTGTTGTTGAAGTTGTATTTTGTGAAGACACCTTCACAGGTACATGCATTCTGCTGATCAGGACCCCTATGCATGTACGTCTGGACTTCGATTAGGTTGTGATCGGAATTAGTTGTTTTTTATATTCTTGATCGGAATTAGTTGTTTTTGATATTCTAATGTCTCTTATCAGGTCCTCATTATTTGTGAAGATAAGGTCAAGTGTGTTTTCTAGTCTTGTTGGCTCCACTATCTGCTGGCTTAAGGTGTGTTTTTCGCCCAAGACCGGGCTGTAGGAGCAGAAAAATTCTCGGAATTCATCAAAGGTGTATCAAATGTAAGAGGCATGGCAGATGGTGCAAGATACCTCCAGTGAAAAGCAGGGGATCAATGAGTACACAGAAAAATCAACAAGTGTTAAGGGACCACCACTCTCCAACGCCCTCCTTTTCATACATAAGGAGGGATTGCCAGCAAATAAATCCATCAGTTCCTGATCAACTGGGTTGTGGTGCATACGCTGGACTGCAGGAGACTGGCACGAACATAACAGGCTGATCGATCAGGCTAGCAACCAGGCGGCCTGATTCGGGACCGGGCCGCGGGGGTGGTGACCTTCAGCAGCGATTCCATCTTTGATGAGTTCCGAGACTTTTTCTACTCCCAGTGCCCGGCCTCGGACAAGGTTCATCTGGAGCTTGTCTGGTCAACCAGGTTGTTGCTGCTGGTGGCCCGCTGACCCACATATTCATCACAGCCTGGTAAAGATACTTCTCCAGTTTCCTCTTGTTCGTGTTAATGAGTAAACGTTCAGGAGGCTGATATTAACGTAAGTAAATGTTCTCGAAGCCGTGTTGAACCTGAGTAAATGTTCTCGAAGCTGTTTTTAACCTGAGTAAATGTTCTTGAGGCTATTTTTAACGTGAGTAAATGTTCTCGGGCTGTTTTCAACGGGTAATGTTCTCGAGGCTGTTTTTAACGTGAGTAAATGTTCTCGAGGCTGTTTTTAACGTTAGTAAATGTTCTCGAGGCTGTTTTTAACGTTAGTAAATGTTCTCGAGGCTGTTTTTAACGTATTATTCGTAAGACGATGGATACCAAAACCGTAGTAAATCTACGCGCCTTTTAGTGGAAGGTATTCAGGTTTTTTAGGAACTAGTCAAGAGCCCTCACGCGTCAAGGACTCCTGGGCTTACGTGGGTAAATGTTCTCGGGGCCGTTTTTAACGTGAGTAAATGTTCTCTAGGCTATGTTTAACGTGAGTAAATGTTCTCCTGGTTGTGTTTAACGTAAATGTTCTCCTGGTTGTGTTTAACCAGAGTGAATGTTCTCCTGGTTGTGTTTACCAGAGTGAATTCTCGGGATTGTTAAACCAAGTGAAGACTCTTGGTGTGTTTAACCGATGAATGTTCTCTGGCGTTTTAACCGAGTGAATGTTCTCTGGTTGTGTTTAACCAGATGAATGTTCTCCTGGTTGTGTTTAACCAGAGTGAATGTTCTCCTGGTTGTGTTTAACCAGAGTGAATGTTCTCCTGGTTGTGTTTAACCAGAGTGAATGTTCTCCTGGTTGTGTTTAACCAGAGTGAATGTTCTCTTGGCTGTGTTTAACCAGATTGAATGTTCTCCTGGCTGTGTTTAACCAGAGTGAATGTTCTCCTGGTTGTGTTTAACCAGAGTGAATGTTCTCCTGGTTGTGTTTAACCAGAGTGAATGTTCTCCAGGTTGTTTAACCAGAGTGAATGTTCTCCAGGTTGTTTAACCAGAGTGAATATTCTCCAGGTTGTTTAACCAGTGAATGTTCTCCTGGCTGTGTTTAACCAGATTGAATGTTCTACTGGTTGTGTTTAACCAGAGTGAATGTTCTCCTGGCTGTGTTTAACCAGAGTGAATGTTCTCCTGGCTGTGTTTAACCAGAGTGAATGTTCTCCTGGCTGTGTTTAACCAGAGTGAATATTCTCCTGGCTGTGTTTAACCAGAGTGAATATTCTCCTGGCTGTGTTTAACCAGAGTGAATGTTCTCCTGGCTGTGTTTAACCAGAGTGAATATTCTCCTGGCTGTGTTTAACCAGAGTGAATATTCTCCTGGCTGTGTTTAACCAGAGTGAATGTTCTCCTGGCTGTGTTTAACCAGAGTGAACGTTCTCCTGGCTGTGTTTAACCAGAGTGAACATTCTCCTGGCTGTGTTTAACCAGAGTGAATATTCTCCTGGCTGTGTTTAACCAGTGAATATTCTCCTGGCTGTGTTTAACCAGAGTGAATATTCTCCTGGCTGTGTTTAACCAGAGTGAATATTCTCCTGGCTGTGTTTAACCAGAGTGAATATTCTCCTGGCTGTGTTTAACCAGAGTGAATATTCTCCTGGCTGTGTTTAACCAGAGTGAATATTCTCCTGGCTGTGTTTAACCAGAGTGAATGTTCTCCAAGCTGTATTTAACGAGAATGAATATTCTCGAGGCTGTGTTTAACGTAAGTGAATGTTAAGGAGGCTGTGATGACCCTGAGTGAGTGTTGAGGGTAGCAGTGTTGACAGTAAGAGCAGTGTTGAAGTAATGTTAAGGTGGCAACACCACCTCCTACCTGTACAACAACATGCCCGGAGGCGACTCCAACACTCACTCCCTTACACTTACTTTTTAAAACGTTTACCACCCACACTCTTGCCCCACTTCAATACTCTTCTCTTACCTCATCCTCCTCTAGCACTAACTACAACACTTGCACTAATGTAATTACTTTTTTGTTCTGTAATTGGGCTTGACAGGTGAAGCACTTACTTTGTTGGAGGACAGGTAACAGCGCCGTGCTTGTCACTGGTAATTCACTAAAACACTTTTAAAACCTCACTCACAAACGACCACGATTTCATATCTATGTAATCATAGGATTCCTTTATTGATTAAAAGACAAATTATAATAATGACACCACTTGTGTTGCGTGTGACAAGAGAGAATGAGAACTTGAGAGAGCAATAACCCTCACCTCACCAAGGAAAGTTTACAACTGGTCACTCGTGTTATGGAAGCGCATGCGCTACAAGTTGTCTCCTCGAGAGTTAAACACGGAGGATTATTTGAACATTTTCTTCATTTTATATAAGCCTTTATGTGGTATTATTCTTCATATTAATTCCTAGTAAACGTGGAAGTTTCTGAATCCTTAAATAATTCTTTATAAACATATTATTCTTCCGCAATAAAGTTCATTGTATTGCATCAGTGATTACTCTGCCCTCTGTCAGTAGCCGCGCTAACTAGGCTCCTTAGAGGGACGCTTATATCTTTTAATTTAAGTTTATTTGGTTTTCTTTGCAATGGTGTTATTTGGTAAATTATGAAGGATTAAATCTAGGATACTCTAATTATGATTTTTTTATTTTATTCAAGGGGATAGCTAAACCCGCAAGGGTCTTACACCACATTGGGAATGAGAAATTGGAGGTAATCAGATTGAGTCCTAGGAAAAAAAAGAATGGTTCCAATTCTTTGGACCAAGAGCTTTTCCTTGCCATCAAGGCCCTCCCTTAGCCAATTAAGTCAAACAACATGTGTGTGTGTACTCACCTAATTGTGGCTGCAGTGGTCGATTCATGCTCTTGGCCCCGCTTCTTCACTGGTCGCCACTAGGTCCACTCTCTCCCTGCTCCATGAGCTTTATCCCCTCAAGGAAGGTTCCTTGATGTTGGTGAGGGGCTCTTGATTTAGGGAATTGGATCTGTGCTCCAGTTCCCCGAATTAAGCCTGAATGCCTTCCACATCCCCCCCCCAGGCGCTGTATAATCCTCCGGGTTTAGCGCTTCCCCCTTGATTATAATAATAATAATCCATGAGCTTTATCATACCTTTTGTTAAAGCCATGTATGGTACCTGCCTCCACTACCTCACTTTCCAGACTATTCCATTTCCTGACAACTCTATAACTGAAGAAATACTTCCTAACATCCCTGTGATTCATCTGAGTCTTCAACTTCCAACTGTGGCCCCTTGTTTTTGCGTCCCATCTCTGGGGTATCCTGTCTCTGTCCACCTTGTCGATTCCTCTCAGCATTTTATATGTTGTTATCATGTTCTCCCTGTCATCCAGTGTCCCCTTAACTCCGGGACTAGTCTCGTTACAAACCTTTGCACTTTCTCTAGTTTCCTGATGTGCTTGGCCAGGTGTGGGTTCCAAACTGGTGCTGCATACTCCAATATGGGCCTGATGTACACGGTGTACAGGGTCCGGAACGACTCGTTACTGAGGTGTCGGAATGCTGTTCTAAGGTTCGCTAGCGCCCATATGCTGCAGCAGTTATTTGGTTGATGTGCGCCTCAGGAGATGTGCTCGGTATTATACACACTCTAAGATCCTTTTCCTTGAGTGAGATTTGTAGTCTTTGGCCCCCTAGACTGTACTCTGTCTGTGGTCTTCTTTCTTCTTCACCGATCTTCATGACTTTGCACTTCGTGGAGTTGAACTCCAGGAGCCAGTTGCTAGACCAGGTCTGCAGCCCGTCCAGATCCCTCTGTAGTCCTGCCTTGTTCTCCTCCGACTGAATTCTCAGTAACTTCGCATCATCTGCAAACAGGGACACTTCTGAGTCAATTCTTTCTGCCATGTTGTTCACATATACCAGAAACAGCATTGGTCCTAGGACTGACCTCTGTGGAACCCCACTTGTCACAGGCGCCCACTCTGACACCTCATGTACCACAACTCGCTGATGCCTTCTTGTCAGGTATTCTTTGATCCATTGCAGTGCCTTCCCTGTTATATCTGCTGGTCCTCCAGCTTTTGCACTAATCTCTTCTGTGGAACTATGTCAAAAACCTTCTTACAGTTCAAGAAAATGCAGTCTACCCACCCCTCTCTTTTCTTACTGCTGTCACCTTGTCTTAGAGCTCTAGTAGGTTTGTGACACAGGATTTCCCGTCCCTGAAACAGTGCTGGTTGTTGTTGATAGGCTCATTCCTTTCTAGGTGCTCCACCACTCTTCTCTTGATAATCTTCTCTGTGACTCTGCATACTATACATGTTAGTGACACTAGTCTGTAGTTTAGTGGTTTGTGTCTGTCTCCTTATTTAAAAATCAGGACTACATTTGCTGTCTTCCATACCTCGTATAGTCGCCCTGTTTCGATAGAAGTGTTGAAGATTGTTGTTAGTGGCACACATAGTGCCTCTGCTCCCTCTCTCAGGACCCATGGAGAGATGTTATCTGGCCCCATCGGCTTTGAAGTATCTAGCTCGCTTAGCAGCCTCTTCACTTCTTCAGTTGTATGCATTGTGTCCAACACTTGATGGTGTGGTGTGGTGGCCCGGTGGCCTGGTGGCTAAAGCTCCCGCTTCACACACGGAGGGCCCGGGTTCGATTCCCGGCGGGTGGAAACATTTCGACACGTTTCCTTACGCCTGTTGTCCTGTTCACCTAGCAGCAAATAGGTACCTGGGTGTTAGTCGACTGGTGTGGGTCGCATCCTGGGGGACAAGATTAAGGACCCCAATGGAAATAAGTTAGACAGTCCTCGATGACGCACTGACTTTCTTGGGTTATCCTGGGTGGCTAACCCTCCGGGGTTAAAAATCCGAACGAAATCTTATCTTATCTTATCTTATCGTACCCCACCTCTCTGTCTTTCCGGAGTCCCTTCTGTCTCCTCTGTGAACACTTCTTTGAATTTCATGTTGAGCTCCTCACATACCTCTCTGTCGTTTCTTGTGATCGCCCATCCTTCCTTCCTCAGTCTGATTACTTGCTCCTTGACTGTTGTAATATCTGCTGAAATAAGAATTTACATAAGAAATGCTTATTTATTCCGTGATGTACATAGACTGTATGTTACGCAAAAATGTGGGATAGCTGGGGGCTTGAGCCTGGTCTAAGGGCAAAGGTAAAAGTTACTCACATCTCAAGCCCAAACCGGCCACTCAGGGCTATCCCAGACAAAACAGAAAGCGCTAAACTAGTATGTGTACTTAAAGGAGTTGGGTAACAGAGGGTTAGGCAAAAATCCCAATTAGGAAAATATATCTATTTAGTCACCATAACATAACATAAAAGAAAAACCTTAATTCTAAACGCCCAAATGAGGGTACAAACAACAGCTGGCTGGAGGTCCAGCCACCATAACCACTAGGCCTCATCAGCGTCAGGCCGTCACTACACTACAAACCCCATTTCTTATTTCCTCACTCATCCCACAGCACCCTGACCATGTCAGAGCCTGGGTGAACATACAGGTAAGCCATATGAGAGCCTATGGCTTGAGTTGGATAAACAAAATGAGTGCACAACTACAAACTTATCTTAAATACACAGCATCTCTGACGCCAGCCTCTACACACCATGCTAACGTCACGTGACTCCCCCAAACCACGCTTACTCTGCATACCCAAACATCCTTGGAAAATAAATCATTAACAGAATTTCTTTATAATTACAGTTAGAGTACTTTACAGTACCCCCAAATGCACATTATCAATTATAAAATTATTCTTTACAACTATAATATTCATACTATTATGGCACACTTCTCCACTATATGTACATTACGATGTCATGCAGAACCCTGCATAACACCCCCACCCCCAGACCATAGGTCTCACTCTGCTAGCAGGGTCCCTACGGACACCGATAGGCAAAAAGAAATAAAAAGAAAATAAACCCCATTTCTTATTTCCTTGCTAAGAAGCAAGATCACCACCCATCTAGAAACCCATCAGTTACACAACCCAGGGCAACATGGGTTTAGAACAGGTTGTTCCTGTCTGTCTCAACTATTGGATCACTACGACATGGTCCTAAATGCACTAGAAGACAAAAAGAATGCAGATGTAATATATACAGACTTTGCAAAAGCCTTCGACAAGTGTGACCATGGCGTAATAGCACACAAAATGCGTGCTAAAGGAATAACAGGAAAAGTCGGTCGATGGATCTATAATTTCCTCACTAACAGAACACAGAGAGTAGTCGTCAACAGAGTAAAGTCCAAGGCAGCTACGGTGAAAAGCTCTGTTCCACAAGGCTCAGTACTCGCTCCCATCTTGTTCCTCATCCTCATATCTGACATAGACAAGGATGTCAGCCACAGCACCATGTCTTCCTTTGCAGATGACATCCGAATCTGCATGACAGTGTCTTCCACTGCAGACACTGCAAGGCTCCAGGCGGACATCAACCAAATCTTTCAGTGGGCTGCAGAAAACAATATGAAGTTCAACGATGAGAAATTTCAATTACTCAGATATTGTAAACACGAGGAAATTAAATCTTCATCAGAGTACAAAACAAATCCTGGCCACAAAATAGAGCGAAACACCAATGTCAAAGACCTGGGAGTGATCATGTCGGAGGATCTCACCTTCAAGGACCATAACATTGTATCAATCGCATCTGCTAGAAAAATGACAGGATGGATAATGAGAACCTTCAAAACTAGGGAGGCCAAGCCCATGATGACACTCTTCAGGTCACTTGTTCTATCTAGGCTGGAATATTGCTGCACACTAACAGCACCTTTCAAGGCAGGTGAAATTGCTGACCTAGAAAATGTACAGAGAACCTTCATGGTGCGCATAACGGAGATAAAACACCTCAATTACTGGGAGCGCTTGAGGTTCCTAAACCTGTATTCCCTGGAACGCAGGCGGGAGAGATACATGATTATATACACCTGGAAAATCCTAGAGGGACTAGTACGAACTTGCACACGAAAATCACTCACTACAAAAGCAAAAGACTTGGCAGACGATGCAACATCCCCACAATGAAAAGCAGGGGTGTCACTAGCACGTTAAGAGACCATACAATAAGTGTCAGGGGCCCAAGACTGTTCAACTGCCTCCCAGCATACATAAGGGAGATTACCAACAGACCCCTGGCAGTCTTCAAGCTGGCACTGGACAAGACCTAAAGTCGTTCCTGACCAGCCGGGCTGTGGCTCGTACGTTGGTTTGCATGCAGCCAGCAGCAACAGCCTGGTTGATCAGGCTCTGATCCACCAGGAGGCCTGGTTGTTGCGGCCCCTGCCAAACTAGCGGTTAAATAGTT